GGAACTGTCTAGACTCCTACCCTACAAGTCTACAGTTCGAATCCTTCCTACCCTGTGACCTACGAAAGTCTACCTACCACTGGCGATCCTACAGGCCGCAGGTTCAAATCTACGGGTTGACATCAGTACTGTACACAGGTAAGACGGGGAACCAGGGATCGAGCCCTGGGATCTGCATTCGCTACTGCGAACTGGTGAATACCGTTTCACTCCCGCCGGCCTAAATTCGAGGTCCTCCGAGAAAATTTCAGTCCAAGGCAGGACCTTCACCTTTCTGCTCTCTCGTAGGCTCGGACTATATCGGGAGCTGTCTCTAGAAGTTCAGATCTTGTAAACCATCGGTCGTCTTCCGGTTCCTGATAACTAAAATGAACCTTGTACTGTTTCTGCGGACGACCCCTACCTCCAGTTCTGAAGACATCTTCAGCCACTATATACCATCTATGTCATATCTTCCATCCATATCCGGTGGGATCATCGGTCTACGGGATGGAAACTGATCACTTGTTTGACAAGGTAGTAACTTCGATGCTTGAAAAACTGGGTAAGTGTGAAGGTGTGCTGGTAACTCTATGGTGTAGGACGGTCCATCTTCGCCGCCCTTGACTTCCAGAACAGGCCACGGTCCTCTATATGTGGGCAGTAACTTCTGCGAGATGTTCTCCTCAGGCGCAAACTCTTTAGAACTGACCCAGACTAAGTCTCCTACTTGAAACTGTGAAGGGCGACGATGTTTGTTCGCTTGCTCTATCATCCTATGTTGGGCTTTCCTGAGGTTCTCTACGACAATAGCTAGTTCTTTCTCGTGCTGTACAGCAAACTCCATGGTCCCGGGCGGCAATCTGTGAATCTGATCCCGGTTGAGTCCCTCAAACGGTCTGCGCGGTCTAAAGGACTTGTGCAGTTCATTGGGAGTGCGGCATGTAGACAGATGCACGCTGTTATTGTACGCACTAACTACTTTGGGCAATATCTCATCCCAGTTAATTTGGTCTGGTCTAATATACATGCGCAGAACTTGCTGTAGGATCTTGTTCATTTGTTCTGTCTGACCGTTGGTCTCTGGATGACGGTCGGACGACATCAACAACTTGGATCCATATACTCCCATGAGTTCTTACCAGTTTTGGCTAGTAAAGCGACTATCTCTATCGCTAACTATAGACAGTGCAATCCCATTCTCGCTCACCCAACAGTCAAAGAATCTCTGTATGACTAAATCAGTACGTGCCTCTGAAGGCAAAGGAACAAAAACTGCGTACTTGCTAAAGCAGTCAACTATGACCATGACTTGGCTCTTGCCATGCCTGCTTTTGACGTGAGTGCCCATGAAATCTATGGACACCGAGTCTCCCGGCTGATCCGGAATGGGCAAGGGTCTGAGAAGACCTAACGGAGCACGCGTAGAAGTCTTGTTACGCTGGCAGACTTTACAACTGCGAACATACTCTACGCAGTCATTCTTCATCCCTGGCCAGGTATACGCGCGCATTAGATTGGCTAAAGTCTTTTGCCAACCGAAATGACCCTCTGTGTCGTGGCATTCCCCCAAAATCAGGCTACGAATCTCTTCATTGTTGGGAATGCACTACCGGTCGAAGACATCAGTCTTCTTAGATAGCAACCCTTCAGTAGTGCGGTAGTTCGACTCAGTCTCTGGGGGCCTCTTTGACCTTCTTAAGGAGGTCACTATAGATAGGGTCCTGCGCGTAGGCCTCTCTAACCTTCTGTTGTAGGTCCTTCCCTATATCGAGATAATGCACTATCACCCCAAAGTAATCTGCCCTCCGACTCAGAGCGTCCGCGACTACGTTGTACTTCCCTTTGACAGGCTTGAGCTCAAAGTCGTACTGATCTATCTCTGCGGCCCACCTCGTAAGCTTAGGTGTCATCTTGGCCTGCGTCTTTAACCATCTCAATGTCTCGTGGTCTGAGTAGACTTTGAAGTGCCTCCCAAGCAAGTAATGCTTCCAATGGTCTAATGCTTGCCTTAGAGCGTAGAGTTCCCTCTCGTAGGTAGATGTCGCGACCTTCTCTGAAGGCATTCTGGCGGACATGAACTCTACGGGTCTATACCCATTGCCATCGTCTTGCTGTAACACTGCGCCTATGCCGTATTGACTCGCATCGGTCGTGACGACAAAAGGCAAGGACGGATCGGCGACTTTAAGGACTGGATACTCTATCAAAGCCTGCTTCAACTTCTTCATGGCAGACGTGCAGTCCTTGTCCCACTTCCAGATGGTCTCTTTCCTCAGCAATCTGCGAAGGGGCGCAACGATGGTGGAGAAGTTCCTCACGAACTTCCTATAGTAATTAGCTAAGCCCAGGAACAAGCACAACTCTGTCAGCGTATGTGGCGTGGGCCAATCTCTAATCGCTGCGATCTTGCTATCTTCTCGCTTAATGCCGTCTCCGTCTAAGACGTGGCCTAAATACAAAACTTGGGTCTTCGCCCAATCGCACTTCTTTGCATTGATCTTGAAGTTAGCTTCCCTCAGCTTCTCCAAGACCTGCCTGAGATGACCCTGATGCTCTTCAAGGGTCCGGCTAACCACAAGGATGTCATCTAGGTAAACTACAACAAATCTGTCTAACCACGGCCTAAACAAATCGTTCATACAGCGCTGGAACGTAGTTGGCGCATTGGTTAGTCCAAAGGGCATCACTATGAACTCGTAGTGCCCATATCTAGTCCGGAAGGCTGTCTTATACTGATCATCAGGATGCACCTCTATCTGATGATATCCGGACTTCAAATCTATCTTGGAAAAATACTTCGCCCCCTGCACTCGATCTAAGAGATCGTCTATCCTAGGCAGTGGCTCGGTATTCTTTACTGTAATAGCATTTAGACCCCTATAGTCTATACACATCCTTAGCTCTCCCTCTTTCTTAGGGACAAAGAGAACAGGCGCTCCAAAGGGAGACGAACTGGGCCTAATCCAACCCTTCTCGAGGAGCTCGTCTAATTGCTTGCGAAGCTCCTCTAACTCTCCCGGGGACATCCTATACACAGCACCCTTAGGAGTTCTACTGCCAGGCTCTATCTCAATACGGTGCTGGATGGGCCGCGGCACCGTACCTGTCGGCGGCTCAGTCAAATCCTTAAACTCTTCCAGCAGCTTGGCAATCGCAAGGTCCATCGGCTTGTCCTCCGTAGGCTCAGTCACTGGCCTAACATAGGCAACAAAAACCTGCTCCTCCAATTTCTCCTTTTTCACCAATCTGGCGAACGCGGGGGCACTAAGGCAGCAATGCGCCAAGGAATTCTCTACTCCTGACACATGGAACAGGCGGGCAATCTTAGCCTCGCCTGACGAACTAGGGAGCCTACACTCGTGCTCCTTCAAATGGAGCGTGGCCCCGGCTGCCTCTCCCCAATCCATTCCCAGAACAATATCAAAGGGGAGGCTGTCTTCTACGAGGAGAGTCAGGGAGTGGAGGACCTTTTCCACTTTCCCATCCTTCTCTAGGCGAAAATACGCCTGGACTCCCTCTACGTAATCCTCTACAACCATAGTGCGCTTGTCCGCGAGGATACTAACTATAGGGTCTGCTAGCTTTTGGGCTTTAAGTCCCAGCTTCAACTTCTGCAGCGCTTTCTTACTAATATAGCTGCGGGTGGCCCCTGAATCTACTAGGGCCCCTACTCTACCTCTAAAAATCTCTGTATCTAATAAGATCAGCTGCCCTTTATTCTCCTTCTTCATCTTGGCCCAGGCGGGCCTCCTCTCCTTCAACTCGTCGGCCACGCCTGTGAGAGAGGTGTCTAGAGAGACCCTAACACAAGCGGTCTCTAGGCAGCTATCTAGACACCGGCCTGCAACCTCTGCCATAGGCACATGTGGTGTGGGAGTCTCCTGCCGGCTAGTGCTATGTTCCCCACATGGCCTAATGGTAGGGGCAGTTGCTACCCCTACCGGCGGCTGCCTTTTGGCCCTTGGGCAGCCGTTCAGGTCTCTCTGTACTTAGGACAGTATTTGCTGATGTGGCCCGGGTCACCACAAAAAATGCACTGGCCCCGGTCCAATCGTTGTTGCCATAAAGTCTGGTCCAGACCCAAAGTTTCCCAAGGCCTACCCTGCGGTAGCCCCGGGTGCCATCCTCCTACCCTATAGGGAGATCTGTTCCTAGGACGGTTTTGCGGGGGACCTTGACCCCTGCCTCCCGCTTGGTGGCTCCCTCCTCTGCCGCCAACCCCCTGATCGCCCTGGAACCGGCTCCCTGAGGCCCGGCCCCCTTGGCCCTGGCCTCGTCCTCCTTGCGGCCTCCCTCCAGCCGCGACAGCAGCGTAAGATCTCCCCTGGCCCACACCATTGTCCTCCTCCTCTAACCCCCACTCAATCTGATCGTAGGGGATTTCGTCCACACTACCCTCATCTAAGGTTAGGACAAGACTATCCTTAGTCTTCACTTGCCCAGAGATAGTGTGACCCTTCCACTTCTGTCCCTTGTCTAAGTCCTTGTGCCAGAAAGTGGAAACTGACACAGACTTCGCCTCAAACGCGACCACCTCCCTGCTAAGTGCATCATAGGTCATAGCAGGGTCCTGGCTCTTCGAAAAGAAGTGGCCACGCAGCGACTCGGGCCCGGTAGAAGAGGTTGACCAACTGGGTCGTAGTAACCCCATGGTCAGGAATAGCCACTAGCTCGTCCATTGTGCCCTTGAGTGCCCTGGCACTCTTCCATTGGCACGAGTGGATGGTCTGAAGCCTATCTGAGGCTTTGACACTTCGAGCGACATCAGCAAATCGCTCGCGCAGCAATTTTAGGATCTCAACGAGGGGGGTGAATGTGGAGTACACAACCGGATCGTCACTGCAGTCGGCAGCACGAACAACGGATCTCGCGAAACTGGCGGCCTCGTCTCTAAGTGCGTGGATCGCAATTAAGACCTGCTAATCCGGGGAGACCTGTTGCAGATGCACACAAGTCCTGACATTGGCCTCCCAATTGTCAAAGTTCTCTTCCCTTTTTCCACTGTAGGAATAAAGGAATTTGACTTTGACTGGCTCCCCGCGAGGACGAGCCTCCTCCTCGTTGGGAGCTGCCACCTTGACGCCCTCAATGGCGCCGACACAAAAACGCTCAGTCTTCTCGAGGCGGTGAGTCACATCGGACCCCACAGCCCCTACTAACTCGCGAGCAAAGTCCCGTAAGCCCGTTCGCATCGAGCACATAGATATTTCCTGGCTGCGACTAAACTCAATAGTGCTTTTCTTGTACTTTAGCTAATCGGTCAACGCTCTGGGCGATGATCTCCACCTTACTTTGGAGATCTACTTGCGGAGTCAATTGCGTTGTTAAACCAATCCTCACCTCCGCTAGTTCTTGCATTGCTGCATTCGCCGCCTCCACCCTTCTATTCTTCTCCCTCATCACTGCGAGCTTCCACGCCATCCTCTGTTCATCCTCCATCGCCCGCCGCGTCAGCACATCTTCTGCTTCCCATTTTTTCATAGCGGCTTCTTGCTCATCCTTGGGGATGTACATAGCGACCTCTTCCTCTTCACCCAAGGACAAGTTGGCGACCCACTCCGAAATCCGTTTCTCCATCTCTTCGTCTTTGTTGCCACTGTGCTGCCCACTCCTTTGCAGTGGCGGTCCTTCCTCTTCCTCATCCACCTCTTTCAACTTTTCCTCTTCTTCTTTCTTTAACCTCTCCTTTTCTCTGGCCATCTCCTCCTCAATCTTTTTCAGCTTGGCCGCCTGCTCCTCCTTCAAGGCCTTCTTCTTGGCCTCTCTCTTCTCCTGTTTTTCCCTCAGAATGGCGGCCATCTTCTCCTCCTCCTCCTTCGAATATGGTTGGGTGGAAGTACCACCCCGGGTGTCTACTCTACACGTCATCGCGTGCTAGAACCCCAGAGGAAAGAGGAGACGCCAGAGGGTCCCCCAGAGGAAGAACCCAACAAGTAGCCCATACATCGGATGGTCATCCATCGTGGTGTTGGTGCACGACAAGGGTCCCACTCCTCACCACGTAGACCTACCCGGACACACTGACCCATTGACTGACTCCCTAAGGACCACAGGATAAGGCCCTGTCAGCTATGGTCACTACGAACCCAAGACTACTCTAAGGTTGTCACTACTGAACCAAAAGCTGATCAGGAGGCATTTAAGGAGATCTCCCAAACTCCGCAGGAATTCTTTAACGTCGCAACAGGACGACGCGATCAGCTTGGCTCTTCCTGGCGATTTCAGCCCACAACTCAGCCGTTCAGGCCTACTGTGCCACACCGAGCAGCCCGCCAGTCTGTACCGGTCCTTGGAGGGGTTTGTCCCTCGGGACAGTCGAGTCGTCAGACACAGATCATCAGCCCTAGTAGGTCCGGTAGGGGAGTGGCTCAACCAGGCCTCAACACGTAAAGACGGCCTTCGTTTCAGCCTACAGCTCGGAGTTCGGACCCTCCACACTGAACTCAGTAGACCTGCCGGATAGTACCGGTCATTGGGCTAGACGGGTTGTTTAATGAGCGCTCGCCGCTCATGCCCAGGTCTCCAGATGCCAGAGTAGAGATTTGGTCCTACTAAGCCCGTGCAGGTTTGGCAGCAAGGCCCTATCCTTCATCCACAGAGTCCTAACACCTAAGACAAAAGAGACTCAATGCAGAAAGAGTAAACAGACAGACCCAGCAAGTACCGTGGGGTAAGTGCACATCCACAGGGTAAGGGGATAGGCTGAGGGCTCAACGAGATATCACCAGCTCCGACTTGGTCAAACTCTTGGTCAGCAGCTCCGGTCAACGCCTTGGTCAACGCTTGGTCAACGCCTGTTCAACCTTCTGGTCAACCCTTCCGTCAACCCCTGGTCAACCCTCTAGTCAACGCCCTGGTCAACGCCCGGTCAACCCTTCACCTCGGCTATGGCTGCCGCCACCTCCAACTTCGTCACCCTCATCCTTTCGTAATTAACTTCAGGTAACCTAACGGTCGCCCACATACTTGCTCCATTGGCGTGCATATATCGAAGTAGCCAGCCTCAACTTCCCCTTCCTTCACTTTCTTTTTTCTTCTCTTTCTCTGTTTTTTTTTTCTTTTTTTTTTTTTTATTCACCCCCGGCTATGTCTGTCTTCTTCTTCGATCTCCTCCTTCCACACTTCTTCTCTCTACTTAGTCCCTCATTCTCTGTCCTCCCTTTCTCTCTCTTCCGGTACTCTGTGTTAATACTCCGCGGCTATGGCCGCTGTCTTCCTTCTCCACCGGACTCCACAACTCGCCTCACAGGTAAGTGACAACCAATCTTGGATCGCTCATCTCTCTCTCTCTCTCTCTCTCTCTCCCGCCGTAGCGGTATCTTCAGCACAGCAGGTAAGAACCCAATCTTGTATCTCTCATCTCTCTCTCTCTCTCAGTCTTCTTCTTCGTTGTGGTCTCCTTGATGCAGGTGCGTGGCGACTTCTTCCACCTCAAGGTCCGCTATGGCGGACTGCCTCCTCCGGCGGCCACCTCAACTATGGCGCATCTGCCCTGCAGACGACGGCGCGCATGGAACAGCGGGTACCTGCTCCGATACCAATGTAATCAGACTCGACTTATTCACTCTTTTCATGCACGTGAACAGCAACACACAACTGGCGACATGCGCCCACACAGTACACAGAGATATGTCTTCCA